CCCCAAAACCCCAAAACCCCAAAACCCCAAAACCCCTAAGTATAAAGATTAATTGATTTTAAAGTTGAAAATGATTTCAAAAGTTGTTACTCCCTTGCTGAAACCCGCGGGTAGAAATTATTCCAGAGTTGTAAGCATCAATGGAAAAGATTACAAAGTTCCAATTGATTTTCAAGAACCAGAGTATGATATGGACCATCTACAGAATTCATCAAAGGTCATACTCCTTCGTCATGCCAATACAGTATTTAACTTGGAACATGAGTAAGATTTCAGTTTTCTAATTAGTTTATAGTCTGTTCTTAGCATCCAACGGATATGTGAGAGATGTCCTTGACATCCAGTACGAAGAGAAGCATCGAGATACACCTCTGTCAGAATTCGGAGTTGAGCAAGCAAAATATGCATCAAGGTTTGCAAGAGGACTTGATATTGACTTAGTGCTTATCAGTCCACTTAGAAGAACTCTTCAGACTGCGTACTATTTACTAAGAACTCATCCTAACAAAGAAAACATGAACTACGTTGTACATCCTGATATTAGAGAACATCTTGTTGGAGTCAGTGAAATGACTGAAAACTGGGAGAATAAGTTCATAGATGAATATCAATATTACTTTCCTAATCTAGACTCATCCTTGATGAGGGATGAGTACGGTCAATGCAATGAACTTTTTTATTGCAAAGATATGCAACCTGAGCTCAGAGTCAAGTTTAGAGGCAAGACCAGAGATGAAATCGAACAGCTAATTAGAGAATCAGCGGAGCAGCGTTTTCCAAGGACCTCAGAATTACTAGAGTGAACCTATGACAGAGTAAAGAGGGTAAGATTCTTATTTTCATTTTTAGGTGAAGAAATATATTAAGAAGCATATAAGAAACAGAGATGAAAGAGATCAGCATAAGAAGGTGTTAGTGATTACTCATTCACTGTTGTTAAAGGTATGGACCGGAAGTTGGGCTGGAATGACAAGACCTTACAAAGGCCTCCCTAATGATTCTTTACTGTTTAGTAACTGAGAATTTCACCCTGATACCAAATCTAAGTATGAATAATATTTCTAGAATCTCAATTAATAAAATAGCCAATGGGGTTTTGGGGTTTTGGGGTTTTGGGGTTTTGGGGTTTGGGG